CGGTGAGGTTTCTTCAGACTATCGTATAGCCTGCCCTCAAACAATCCCTTGAAAGTTTGGGGAATGAGTAAACTCATGCTTTCCGCAACAAGAGCGGAAATTCCAGGATAATGGACCAAGCGCGGAGCAATAGAGAATATTCAGTAGAAAAGACTTTAAAGAGTAGGGCAATAATATGCCGAAAACCTAATTTAGTCAGTCTTTCCTCCCCACAAAATCCGGGTCACAATAAACACGGGTGAGCCGAACCGATGTCTGACGAAAATGCAGTAACTAAGGTAATTTCACTTTTGATTCAGCTACAGTAAAATAGTGACCTGATCGTCGTCAGTAGATGACTCCCACAAGGTGAAACTATGCCAAGTTCCTGTAGGAGATCCCGGTTTGCGAGAGTTACATTTCGAACTTTTCAAGGCATCACCATCCGCCTCAAATAGGTTGCCGCCTTCTGAAGCTTCTTATCACCGTCACGGGCAACACCAGTAGTATCTTGGTCAGTATAGCCAGTATTGAGTGCCGAGGCTTCCCGGCAGTACAATTTATTCCAGACGGAGAGCGAATAGAACAACTATGAGGTTATGGATGGGCAAGTAGTTAACTGATAATCTAAACCTACCCAGATGCGTGCAAACACCAAGACAAATCAGCCACTCTGGTCTTTGTACACGACTTTCGTCTGTCTGCGGATGTCGGAGTTCGTGGAGGGGTACTGACCGCTCACGCTCAATTTCCTCCTGTGTCCGGTGCCGAACAAACAGTGGCTTGTTGCGCCACTTGACGACTAAATTTTTGCCTTCAGGAATAGATGCAATGTTGACTTCCGTAGATGCTTCGGCCAATGTTTTGGCTGTAGGACCGAGCGGCATAACGAAAGTTTTCACGGTATACTTTGCAGCGGTGGTAGCAACAACACCTCCAACTGAAACAAAAAACGAATACGCTTAAAGCATGCCAAATTACAAACCGATTGAGAGTGACAAAGAAAGAAAAACCAAGGTCATCACTGCCAAATGAGGTGGAAAAGCACACATCGTCATTAAAATTACTGAGGGCTCATTTCGTTACCTGCCCAAAAGGTACGTACACGCCCAACCTGACCAAAAACGAAACTGACGATTCTGAGACGAAAAAGGTAGTAAAAGTAGCCATTGATACCACTGATTATCATGCACTGAAGCATTTGTTTGACAGACGTGCTAGTGGTTTGTTGTGGACAAACAGGGTCGACAAGCAAGAAGTTAAAAGAAGTCTTCACACAGTCACGACTGTACCTTACTAGTGTGATTGTGCACCCAGTGGCTATAGACCTATACTGCGGGTTGTCCATGAAACATTCACAATCTCTCATACAAGGGTGGTCCACGGGTAGAGGTCAAACCAGCGCGGCTTCTTGAGCTGCAAAGTTGTAGACGGAAACAAATGTGACCGGTTACTTGAAGATTGTGTTAGTCTTAGATAGACAACCACTGGTAAGGAATCAGCCAAACGCTGATTTAGAGCCTTAATCGTCATGCTGTCGCGGGTTTGGCACCCTCGCATACATAAATATCAATAATTTCATGCTACATAGGCTTTCGCGTCACGACTCCATTCCTGTACACCCTAACAATCACTTTCGAGCAAAGATTCTGCGGATGATGAATGGGCCGCCAATTGGGTTAGAGAGTTACACAAACCGTCACATCACGATAAGGTCCAGTCTCCTCTCGATCACAATCGCGTGTTTTCAGCCCATTAAGGAACATACAAAACGTCACAAAAACTGTCCTTGACAGGGTCCGGGTCACCACCTATTGGGGCATGGGTAGATACAAGGTACTGGAGTTGACGGACCTTTCGTTTGTGTTTTCGAGATTCGCTCAGATTTTGGGAAAAAGGTATAGGCGATTACTAACCTGTAACCAATCAAGTAGATATTCTACTAGGTGGCTCAATGCAATAACCGCCCTGACATATACAGCTACAGCGGCCTTCGCGTCACCAGAGGTGCGCAGACAGAAGCATGATTACAGCGACGGGACGGGCAATTCTTTCAGTGCACTTGCGTCCTCGAGTCTGGTTTCTGACAGACTACATGCGTCAATAAGGCAAAGGGAATAAGACGTACGAGCAAGAGTACAAACACTGGACAGCAAAGTGGATCGGTACACGAACATTTTTCATTCCATTTCTCGTTCTCCATTTCCAAGAGAAATTTCGAAGAAAAAACTTATGAGAACTTGAAGATGTCTCTAAATATAACTTTTCTATGGAAGGATTTCACTAGGAGGGCTTCAAATGAGCAGCGTCGTAACGAAACAGCGATGACATCGAAAGAACGGGGCTTAGGGTCATAATCGTCCTTGATCCGTGAAAAACTACGAAGCGTCCAACGATCCGACAGACCAGACATCAGTGGCAAGTATACTTCAGCGGAGCATATAAAGTGCACACCAATGACCCATTTCAAGATCTTAACTAGATCCCTCCAGAAACATATTTGAGGTTGAAATCTGTCTATTTTGATTGACTACCAATGCACCTTGCTTGTAATCCCCTCTCCTAGTCAATTTACCTATTTTTTGTCCGAAAATGGGTACACATGGGATACACACTTTCTCTCTGGCATGGCTTTCCAGTTTAAATATCCTGTGTTTATTTACATGGTAAGGGAACATAAGTGCCGTGTAATACATTCGTGTGCAGCATATCCAATTGCAAACATATAATGCTTTTGTGGTGAAGATACGTGTTTTGGAGACCATCCTGTTTGCCCAATTGATTTTCGGTCCTCCAACGGCTACACAGGCAGTTGTAGCGCAGGACTACTAGTACATCGCACCAGTATCCATGTGGAAGTATTGCTCACCTGTGCACAGAAGGAATATAGTTCCTCAGCGTTTCAGGTTGGGGTTTAAGACGGGCATGACAGCTAGCTCCTTAAAGACTTGTGCTAACGTAATATGGGCGCCTACACGCTGCCCGGCGGACGGGGTTTTGAGCCAAAGGCCCTAGTTAAGAACCCTGATCGCCCTCCCGTCCAGGCGTCGGTGTCATGACAGCATCACACCCCGCGTACAACAATGAACATCAAAACAAAAACACTCATGCCAATTTGGCCTTCACACGATGTCACTAAACGGGTCAATTGATTTTGGTCCTCCAACGGCTACACAGGCAGTTGTAGCGCAGGACTACTAGTACATCGCACCAGTATCCATGTGGAAGTATTGCTCACCTGTGCACAGAAGGAATATAGTTCCTCAGCGTTTCAGGTTGGGGTTTAAGACGGGCATGACAGCTAGCTCCTTAAAGACTTGTGCTAACGTAATATGGGCGCCTACACGCTGCCCGGCGGACGGGGTTTTGAGCCAAAGGCCCTAGTTAAGAACCCTGATCGCCCTCCCGTCCAGGCGTCGGTGTCATGACAGCATCACACCCCGCGTACAACAATGAACATCAAAACAAAAACACTCATGCCAATTTGGCCTTCACACGATGTCACTAAACGGGTCAGCTTAGTCCAAGTAAGCGGGTATGAGAAAACATGCTACTGTTGCCGCATCCCTTAGACGTTTACGTATTCCCTCTTCTACCCTACTCTACCCCCATCTGAAAACCAACCCTGCAGGTCTTAGCAGAAGGACTGACCGCTTTGTTCGACGTGTATCCAACTCGGCTGCAGCTTTTGTTTGCTTTCGGTAATAGCTCTAAACAAGTCCGTTTCAAAAGCTAGTCCACTTAGCTGAAGCTAACAGCACAACAAGCACCTGTTGCTCGTAAGCTGGATTCTTTCTACATCAATGTACACTGTCAGAAACCGGACGCAAGGACACAAGCACTGTAACTGAATTACCGCTGCCTCACGATCATCCGGCTTCCGCGTCTGCATTTCTGGTGATGGGTGGGGGTCTCTGCAGATAAATATACTGGGGCGCGTATTCCGTTGAGCCCCCTGGTGATTGGATACCCGTCGATGGTCGTTTCTGCGCGGGTCATTTTTAAAACGTCCTTGAGAACACCACGAAGGTCAATTCAATTCAATTTAATTCCCCAGCTATAAATCGTGTACCATAGGCATATTGGTTCCAGCTGCTACAGTTGCGATCATCGGGATACAGGATAGTGTGGGACATACAGCCAAGAGGCGACGGTATGTTCAAGTAGTTCCTTAATCGGGTAACTGCGCAGTAAAGGTGATAACTTTGGTGCACAAGCGCCATTGACTGCACGGTTGGGCCATTTTCGCCAATGACCCTGACCACTGGTAAGTTGAGTTCCGGAATCTCCATCCAGGGAGGCGAAAGTTGCCGACCCGACCAGGTTTACTGGTTGGTTTTTGTACTTCGTTACCAGGTCATAGACTGTCCACGTCCCGATAGCTTCCACTCAGCACAGGGCTGGAAAAAGAGCTCTGTGAGTCTTCTGGAATGCGTAGTACATGTCCTAACAAGCGTAACCTATAAAGAGTGAGTACTTCACCTATAGCCGGAGGGTTCCTTCTTCCTAAGAGCATCTGGCGCACCTCAGTATTACCAATCCGATACTCCCACAAGACCTGACCAATGCTTCGGAGACATCGATGACCAATGACATCTTTCGTCCGTCCATCACGAAGAGACTGGGCATTAATCGTGGTGTGACGGTTTACGCACCTCAGCCACCCATTGAGCTATACTACGGGGTGACCCCGCGACAGTCTCTCATACACCAGGGTTTTGGAATGTGACGATGACCAATGATTTCGTCCGTCCATCACGAAGAGACTGGGCATTAATCGTGGTGTGACGGTTTACGCACCTCAGCCACCCATTGAGCTATATATACGGGTGACCCCGCGACA